TTTATTATTATTTTCCCTTCAAGTTTGGAATAAAGCTTAGTATAGAGGGCGCAACAAGAGCAATAATCAGCTGATTAAGTACATGTATATTGACCTATGATGAAAATACTGTAAACAAAGCCTTGTTGATTGTAATGTGATTATCAGATACTTACAATAATAATAGTAGTATTCGTTTTTTCCCGGAACTGTAAAGTAATATACAATGAAAATACTTTTTTGTGTGTGTGTATGTTTATTCGTCATTTGGAATTTTTCAAACGGAGGTAAGTAATATTGATAAACTAATACTTAATCATAATCAGTTCGTAATTCTTAAGGTGAAGAATTGCCATAAATTAAAAATATATAAATATCACGTCGTAATTGGACATGATAACATAAGTTGGTTGAAATGCATTTATCAACATGTTATTTTTATGATAATACAACATATGGTGAGGATAAAACATTACAAGACATTGTTTTCACAGAGAAGTATGATCTAGAGTTAATTCATATTTCTTTGGAAACAAATACTGTATAACTATAAGCTTTTAAATTCCTTAATATTAAACACACTACCATTACAATAATATAAGTTAAACCTACTATATAGGACTAATGTTGCTAGAGCATGAAACTGACATTGTCTGATATATAGTAAGGCAATGACCATACCAACTGAGCTTATGGCTATGCACGACATTGTTACTGAAATGGTAAGGCAGTGACCTTACCACTATCAGATGATCTAAGTGAACAGTATGCACTTATCTGCACATTAATCAGTTCGACTACATATTTTAACTTTGAATGCTTACTTCTTTTGTAATTAGTGCATATGGTTATTCAATGACCAGCTGTTCCACTTGAAAAACCAGTTCAGTCAAATGACTAATTATTTGATTAGGTTTGGGCTTTGTGATATCGTGATCAAAGATTAGATTAATCAGAAGAAGAGGATACAATGAAAAATAATGAACCAAATATCTACACACAACTAATAAAAATAAGCTCAATATGAATATGTTACAGTGTATGTTTATGAAACCATGGGAAGGGATTGCTTTGCATTATAAATTTTCTCTAGGAATACATTTCTTTTTGTATAAATATTTAATTAATAAATTACAAACTTTATATCTCTTTGTTTTCCACTGAGGAAGTATAAGATGCACTAAAACATTTAACATGTTCACTATTTATTATTTTAAAAAACTTAAACATTTTAAGTACATTAATTTTGAGTTGTACTAATAAATTGCTAATCAGAACTTGTCCAGTTACCTTATAATATTTATTATGAAAATTATTTCTAATGTTATAATTTGATCTTTCATAAAGAATGTTTTTAAGGATTATGAGTAATAAGGTAATGTTGTTGATGACTTTCTTGTATTAAGCTTGTTCAAAGTAATCCATGTTCTTACATTCTTTACAAATAGACTTCTTTTTATATATTTTTGTGTGTGTATGTATCCTCCCTTCTCAGATGCAAGGATTCAAAGAAATAAAAGATATATAGTGTCTCGCAACATTACCAAGTGGATAGATTCAGGATGTAAATGCCAAAACTATTCCTGTGGTTGCTGTGCCCATCTTGATGTTCCAAGGATTGGACTGAATGATACAGGTCAGCTTGTTGAGTATTAATTGTGAAGAACAAAAATTTTAGATAATGTTTTAGTGCTGTTGAGAAAACCAAAAATTGTTATTTTGCATAAAATGATTTTCAACTAAATGGCAGTGAATAATACTGCATACAAATATTCACCAGGTTTAGATAAAAAGAAACATCATGCATTAGGTGTAACAATACATCCCAGTTAGATTGATGACTGTGTTAATAATCCCTAGTAAGTAAATGATACAATAGTGTTTCAACTAAGACCTCCTGTCGTAACATAGTACACTGGATGAATTCTGGTCTCAAGTTATAGGCCTGGTCAGTAGTAGCACATGACAGCTAATATATGATTGAAAATCTATTCTACACTTTTCTAAGTGAAAAATGGTATTAAACAATAAAGAGGGATCCGATAAAATTATCATCTTAATTAAACATCCTGTACCTTTGCCTTACAAATTGCTAATATAAAAGCATCCCAACTGAAAGTGTGCATATTTTAACCTGGGCTAAGGGCATTAAGTACCATAATATGATGATTGTTATTTTGTTTTCAAATACATAAAAATTATAAATGTCTTACAATAAAATTTTCTTTTTTAATCCACAAGATTAATCTAACATAAACAGGCTCTTGCATGTTCAAATGTAAGTGAAATTATCACTATATAGACACTCGTACACACACATATTTCATAATCATTATATATATAATATACAAATTTCTTAATTTCAATATTTGTATTACCTGTTACCAAATTGTTGCAACAAAATTATTTTGTTAGATAAGTTGACATAGTACAATACAGAGCTGACCTATCCAACCAATTTTATGATGCTGTTTTTATCTTATTAAATCATTATATACTGTATCTATTCTCTCAAGCTACTTCATTGAATTCTTCTATACAATTATTTAAAATGAATGATCATGATGAAATATGTCATGTAGCCAGGTGCAAAGTTTAGGTTTTGAATTAGTAAGAATTTTTAATTTTCACCCATGCATTTCCATAACAATATTTTGAACATAGTTTGGAAAAAAAATTAAATAAAAACCTTTCTAATGCACTTTTTTAAGGTTATTGATGTAGTATCTAATTAAACCTAACAAATTAATCTTTTTTTTTCTGTTATGTTCTAGGCCTACACTCTGGTTGATAGCATAGTTTCTTTACTGTTTCTGTTTAATTAATGTTCTCTAGTTGTATATAAACTTTCATTGTTATTGTTATGATAATTGTACAGCAAGTCAAGAATGAGTATAAAGAGCATCACAAGTAAAATTAATCATAGGTCAAATAAAAAAAAACAGTCGTTTTAATAATAAAAAAAAAGGATGAAAAAAAAAGATTTCCCTTTCTTGTAATTCTGTCTGAATATTTTTCCCCCTTAGGTTGTGTGAACTTTACCTATCTACCAAAGGAGTATGGCATTTCCTTCACAGTAACTATTGATAACTACACAGTGTTTAACGAGACCATCTCAGGTAGAGCTCGGTCTGTTCCTTCTGATAAGTATAACAGTTTTTCAGTACTTTAGTATTTCTGAATTTTTGAAAGGAAAATGTAAAGGAATGTAAATTAACATTATAAAAATCCCTTACTTTTTACTCACCTGATGTTTTTGATGTGAAGGACTAATATTTGCCATAATATTTGAGAACTTAGCCTTCATAAAATGTTTCATGATTCTGGCTTAAAGTAACTAAATGCATCCTTATTTGTAGTCCACAACCCACCACCACTATGTTTTGGAGCTCCCATGCTAAAAGAATTTGCTGATCTGTGTGTTCACTTCTACAATATAACTATCTCCTGGAACAAGGCTTACGGATGTGTCAAAGTAGAGGCCAGAATTCACCATGTTGTTATAGCATCATATGAGCTTGGCTGTTTTTCTGTGGGTCATGGTCTTCATCACGTATCATACAACAAGAATCATCAGTTATTGTCAAGAAGAGGAAACAGACTTTACTGAAAACAACCATACTGAAATGAGTTTTATGTTATATTAATCTGTTTTTTTTTTGCTTTATGTCGACCTGACTATTAGTAGCACATTAATCTGTGATCTACTAGTTTCATCACTGGACCCAACTTTATATGATCTTCACTTATATCCGCATGACTGGGTCCTGACTCCTAACTGTATCTAACCTCAACACTTGTGTAATAACTTCTGCTAAATAAACAAGAGAGAAGATATCCTAATGATTATTTAACTGAATCTTCCTACGACTAAGCTTACTTTATGTTAAATGTCTCGGTTAACTGTTAAGGGTGGTACACTGACCAATGAAAACTATAATTTTTTTTTTGAGGCAGCTACTATAATCAAGTTATGAAATCCTTACCTTATTTAAGCACACAGTAAATATTATGTTACAATGAAATAGATTTTCATCTGTCTTCATCTAAAAGGTTATACTTATTAGTTAACCATAATATGTAAGGACATTTTTGATTACAAGTTTCCATTGAAACAAAACTATCTTTACACAGTAAGCTGTCAGTTGGTAACTTACAGTTATGTTTTAAGTTTTAAAACAAATGACTTTTTCAAACACATTTTATGATTGAATATTCTACTTTTGTTCTAGGATTCACAAGAATACCAAACAGTTATAGCAGCAACAAGTTATTAGTGTTTTCATATCTAAAATACAAGAATTACTAAGCTTTTAACTGACCATGATGATGAGAGAGTATTAATAATGGCTTATAAGTGCAATTCAACTCACCTGAAAAGCTATTAATTGGTTATGAAACAGGAATTTAGTGTAAACTATCCACTATATATTTATCACAAATAAATGTTCAGAACACCTTAACAAGTGAGCTACTGGAAAATGGAAGTTCATATTAAGGTGACTTCCAAGATTCTGAGATTTTTAAAAATAACTATGGGATGTATTTATCCCCAACATTAAAATTTTATTAAAATAATTCTACTTATCCTTCTGTTTACTCTTGTTTAGTGTTATTATACTAGGGTTGTTTTTGTAAATAATTTTGACACTAAACAGTTAACAAATCTGGAATATGTATAGGAACTTTTTAGTATTAAGTTTATTGACTTCTCTAAGCTATGTTCTTTATCATGTATTAATAATTTAGTTTTAATTACAAAAAAAAAGAATTTGCTATGTATTAAAAAAATCCAAACAACTCACCGCAACTTTAAAATCTATCATGTTTACCTATGATGAAGGTAAAACCATCTACAAAAAATAAAAAAATCTACAAATGCTCCTACTATTGGATACATTTCTGATGCTAACCTTTTTTAGCTTCTCTGACATAGGGGTATTGTAGTTGACTTAAGTGCTGTGGCATGCAAATCAACAGATGCAGCAACATTTACTGGAATTTAGCCTTTGTTGTTTCCAATCATCATTTTATCAAAGTTAACTATACACTTCCTTGGTATTAAATAGTCCAATCCTAAAATGCAATGGTCTTCAATGTTAGCCAAGTATACTTTCTGTCTGTTCTTCATGCCCATGAGCTCAATAGTTATCCACACTGGTCCCCACAACCTTGCATAATACCCCCTATGTCAGAGAAGATAATTTGGGGTAGGATAAAAGAACATCCCCATGGAAGCCCAATGCTTGTGGAAGCAGTGGAAGACCCATCCAGGCCAGCGGATTTGAAGATTGAAAGGTCACTTTTGGCAGGTCATCGAGTAGTACCCATAACAGTGGCCAATTTCTCTAAATGTGAGCAGACATTTAAGGAAGGGGCATTATTGGGTCTGTGCTAGGAGATAGAGCCAGTCAATGTTAAAGCAGGAAATACAACTGTAAAGAAAGGACATTCTCTCCCGGGAACATTTAACTGACCTCTATAAGAAGAGCATAGTCCATTTGTCATCATCACAGGCTCT